GGGGGGGGGGGGCAGTGTTTAAAAAACAGGCCACGACCACTTCACCACCATTTTATAAACCCTACTTAAGCAAATCTGACAGTCGTAGAGAGTAGTTAAATACCAGGCTATAAGAATAAGTAATACCCATCGCTTGTCACACTGCGGAAAAAGGAGATTGAAAATTTCACCTTTTAATTTGCTTCGAGTTGTACACCACAACGCCAAAAATCTATCAACACTGAGTCATAATATGGTCTAATGATGGGATTTTTTTAACACGGCGATGAACCCCCCCCCCGCGAAATAAAAGCAGGGAATTTCTCGTATAAGGGAAACCACAAAAGAAATTGATTAGTACAAGGCACATAAATACAAGCCTACGACTTCTCTGTACCAGCAACAAAAACGAAAATTGATACTGTCGCCTTAGCCTCCTGTTTTGTGAGAAGTCACGAACACAAATAATGTTAGCGTGTCAATAATAGACACGCAAACGCAGGTACATCAAACTGCAAAACATTAGAAATTCCCACCCACCCAATTAAGAATCACTTGAACCGCCACGTAATGAAATCGACCTCATTCCAGTAAAATCATGAATGATTCCAATATGTCCTCGGCATCAGCTGTTCCCAAATTTCCCTGAATTGTACATAAAACAGAATAATTGCAGTGACTTTTATATACTAGAGCAGAGCGCTCCTTTCGGAGCTCCTGGGGGTGGGGGGTGTCAAGTTTTTAAAACGCAACCCCCCCCCCCAGAGAAGGGGGGTTGGTCAAGTGTTTAAAATTCATAATTCATTTGTTTGTTGAAAACTGATTGTTAAGAAAGCAGCATTTTAAAACAGAGGGGCCTGACTTCGTTTCAATGTATATTATAAACTTAACGATGCAGGGTACAGTCTACGATATGCGTTAAAATGCCTCCTAACCTATTAATTTTAATTAAATGTTACTAAAAGAAATTATTTTTATCTTCCTCAACAAATTTTTAAATAAATTTACAGATCAAAATGTTTTAATACATCCTTTAAAAAACGTATCCAATTATAAAAGAAGGGGAATTAGCTCTGTAACAGCGCAATGGACTTTTGGCGCAGGTGGTGATGGGATCATACCCTAACCTCACTTCGTCAAAATTGTTGCAGCCGCCATGTTGTTCCCACCTCACAAGTTTGTTCGTCCGTCAAATGCGTACTACTGATTGCTGGATTTTAAAAGGTACAAGTGTAGATGGGCCTCCAGTGGCACATTGTCAATACCAAATTCAATCGAAATCCAACCACCGGTTCTCGAGCTGAATCATGCGAACTGACAGACAGACAGGCAGATAGATAGAAGTGATCAGCTCTACACGCACTTTTTTCGTGTACATCGAACAAAGAATGTATATAAACAGTTTTATCAGTTTCTTCCTTCTCCCAACGCACGCAAAACTTTATAATCTATCTCATTTATAATAGTCGGTCATCGGCCAGGATAAAACTTCAGCACGGCATGGATAACTAATTAATGAGTGTCGATGCTTTCCAAGACACAACAAAAGTCTAGAATGCAATTCACGCACAGCTATTTAGCTAGCATAATGTATCTGATGTCATACACTTTTGAAAAATGGAACATAATTATCTCTGAAAGCTACAGAACCCAATAAAACGTGTTCATAAATTTACCTAGAATCCATAATCGGTTTTCTGGTTCGAAGTGGATATTATATATCAGTGAGCATGTAATTATTACTTAAATAATGTAAAACTTTATAACTGATTCAATTTTTGCAGGAAATGTAAATGGCCACACCAGACGTTTTCGGGTTGAATAAATTAAAGAAAACTATGGAACACAACATAATGGAAGAAACAGTGAGACCTAGAAGAAATAATGCATGGACAATGCACAAGAGGCATCAAATCAAGATAAGCAATCATTTTGGTAGGTAACATTCCCCACCAATACATGTATGACTGCTTGGGTGTTATGATGCTGTATTGTATAATTCTCCGAATACTTTCGAAACCCCTGACACTTCCCCCCATCATAAAATAGTGCCTCATGCCCAGAAACATACTCCCAACAAAGTATTTAGTTTTTAAAGTCACTGGTTTTCCAGGATTATCGAGTCCTTAACAATTTTTGAAGTATTAATGGGGTCTATGATAAATACGCTGTTCATTAGACTGTTCTGGAAATTGAAAATGATTAAGAGACACGCACAGTCAGGCTTCAGTGTGGTGGTGCGCAGACCTGCTGGAAGAACACGAAAAGCTACCATTCTTGTGACTGTGAATAAACAACGTTACCCAGCAAATCCAAATTGTTCTGATCCCAAGGTGCCTACATTCGGTTTGTAGACCTTCCCTAAAACGGAATGTAGTCTTGTCAGAAAACACAATTTTCTGCATGAATTCGTTGTCTCTGACCAATTTCTAAAGCATGGTCACTTCAAATTTCTTATAGGATACCCTATTTTCTGGCACATTTGCCTGCACCACTTTCAACTTGTAAACATACAGACACAAACATTTCTGTAACACCCGACGCACAGTCGAATGCAGCATTTACAACTCATAGTCCTGCTTGTCGACCAGCTTGTCCTTGTCAACATAAACTTTTATATATATATATATAAAAAACAATAGAATGCAACTAACCTCAAGAATATCCAATGTGTTACTGTTACAGATTCACATCAAAGCAGACTTAGGAAAACAATACCAGGGGAACACGATGAATCAGTTCCACAAAGTTACAACACAAGAACGAAACAGAAAGGAATTACTTCAGGCTGTAACACAATTAAAGTGGTGAAGACATTCACTGATTACTGTGACAGATGTTCCCTTCATGGTTTAAAGTATGTTGGGGACTTGCAGTTGCATCCTTTGGAAAGGTGATTTCTCTAAACAATCATCTACTAACCAACAGACCAATCGACCAACCAACCTGTTCTCTTCCACCAAACTCAAAGCTTCTGCACTACTAGCAGCAAAGTGAATCTAAATCAGTTCCATCCACCACCCACCCTCTTAAGATCTAACCCAATTTTATCCCACTCCCTCCTTCATGACCACCCAATTGGTCACTTTCTAAGGGTTTCCCCTCCAAATTCTGTATGCATTCTTGTTTCCCCATTTAAGTTACAAGCGTAGCTCATTTTAACCTTAACTCACTTAGCATAACAATAATATCTGAACTGTGCAAACAAAAAATTTTCATATATGAAATCTTCCATTACTTGCTTTATCCCTCCTCCAAATGTTTTCTTGGGCACTTTGTTTTCAAACACTTGTGATCTGCCACAAGCAAACAATTTTGATTACAGTAAGTAACAAATGCCGGGCCTAATATTACATTACGAAACATGGTTACCGCATGTCCAAAAGGGTATGGATGATCATTACACTTATCTTAAGTCTGTAGACTTGTCACTGTGTATATAAATACACCTGTGTTCTTACTCCATACTTTAAGATGTGCTGACCAATGACCGCAGTTTCAAATTATTGCTAGATGTTAATTAATTATTTTTAATTAATGTAAGAGACTGTCAACTTGTCTTCATCTGGTGAGAAGATTACTGATTATGTGCTTCCTAATGAGACTCTCACAAAAGGAAAAGGTTTACATGGTAAGTGTATTAAGCTTCACTGCCAACACCAGATAACATATTTAATGTGAATTTGCACAATAAATGGGTAAAAGAATCATCACCTGAAGTGTGCACACAAAAGCCAGAAACTATTAAAGATACCCAACAATGACATCAGAAATTCAAATAAACATCCACTGTTGCACAAAATCATCCATAAACGGTTCACTCACAGAGCCACGAAAATTACAAAAGTCTTGCCAAGGCGTGCAAAAGTTTCAGGTGATATAATTTCAATAACTTATTCATGTAAAGTTTCTAGGACTATCCATGAAGAATCCCAGCCCTTTTTCATGATGGAGACAGCTTAGTTTCATCAACGTGTCTACGTAAAGTAACAGAACACGTGTCAGCGTATAATGAAAATCCCCATATTATCGACAGAGCCAGTACCAACATTTCATAGCAACATACTGGCTCTATCCACAGCCCTAAAGACAGAGGCTGTATGTTTCTCCAAAATGGTGTTGTCCATCTTCAAGTCCACATGGCATTATAACCAAGAAGGCAAACACTGATATCGTCATTGATATGAGAACCTCAAATTTCACAAAACAATTTTAGTCATGTCTTTAACCGGACCTTCCC